ATTTATGTCCTGATATTTTAAGTGACTACTTCCCTGCTTTTACTTCTGGTGACCTCTTGCCTCTAAATCTAGTTCAGACAGCCCTTTTGTGAAGCATTCTGTAAAAGCTCTTATCTCTCCCATGTTAATTTATATATAGCTACAGATGCACATAGGCATACAGTGTTTACATTTCATCTCTTATTCAGGGTATAATATGAATGCATTCCAAAAATATAACTTCAGGAATCTAATTCCTTATTAACTGTAAATTCCACATTAAGTAGAGCTGTCCGATTCATACCTTTGATATGGCACGAATTAAAAGTGCTCTCTTTCCTGCTGTTTATATATAGCATTGGTTTCAGCCCCATCCCAGACATTTTTTTGTTTTGTTGTTTGCAGACAGTTTCACTCTTGCACCCAGGCTGGAGTGCAATGGTGTGATCTTGGCTCACTGCAACCTCTGCCTCCCGGGTTCAAGCAGTTCTCCTGCCTCAGCCTCCCGAGTAGCTGGGATTACAGGTGCCTGCTACCGTGCCTGGCTAATTTTTGTATTTTTTAGTAGAGATGCGGGGTTTCACCATGTTGGCCAGGCTTGTCTTAAACTCCTGACCTCAGGTGAGCCACCGTGCCTGGCCGATATTTTTATTTCAAAGATCTGGAGTAGGGATTTGTCATTTTTTTCTTCATCAGTGATTCTTATGGTTTACACCTCTGGTTTACAGCCTTACCTTGGAATTTTCCAGGACTAACTACTACAGTAGATCAGAAAATGGCCTTGGTTTTATTCTTCTTTAATCTCAGAATGTAAGAAATTCATTCATAAAGCAAATATAGGATCAAACAACCACAGTTTTTGTTAACTTCATGAAACCTGGCAAATACTTAGCTTCCATAAGCCATGAATTCCTTAAAGACCCTTGTGTATCTTGGCTTTCATTGTTTTTCAAAGCTGCCTTTTTTGTGGTCAGGCCCTGGGCTGTCCTGTGTCTCAGGAGCAGAATAAAATGTGTTACTGTGACCCGCATACCATTCTTTCTTGGTTTTAGCCTTCTTTAATCATACACTGAGACCTAGAGGATCAGGGCTTTTAGAATAAGGCCAACTTATGTAAACCTGATTTAACCCTGTTCCCAGATCAAACTCTGAATGATTGATTCTGAGAATATATGTTGTTATAAGTAAATCCAGAGATTACCAAATCATAATATTTTAATATATTAGTAATGTGATTAAAAGTACATCACAATTATGTTTTCTCATTGATAGATCTTAGTACCTTATCATTTAGTCTGATTTTTTTCACTTCTGTAAATATTAATATTTAGATGTCTATTTTAGACCCAAATTATTGCTTGCCCCAGTAGCATAATTTGAACTTGAAGCAGGGCTTGAGGGAGTAAAAAGATCTCAGCAGGATCACACAGTAGTAAAAGGGCTATTAAGTGCTATTATATGGTTTAGGATTTATGGAATCTGTGTAAGTGGCTTAAGATATGGCCTCAGTTTTATTCATTCTGCATACACTGGTTGAGTCCATTTACATATTATTCACATTTTTATACATATATTCTGAATATACCTTTCCAATTTAAAAATAACTAATATACATTTGAAATAAGATCTGCTGGAAAGTAGCATAATCATTGTTGTTTATAATTTTATTGTTATATAGGGAAAATATTTACATGTTTCTTTTTGTTTGTTTTTGAGATGGGATCTTGCTATGTTGCTCGGGCTGGTCTTGAAGTCCTGGGTTCAAGTGATCCTACCACCTCAGCCTCCCGAGTAGCTGGGACTACAGGTGTGCACCACCGCACCCGGTTTATTTATGTTATTTATTAATTTACTATAGCAATGTTGAAGAATTACTTGGTGAAACTCGTGATGGATACTTTACTGACTTCTCTGGATTTGTTCTCCAGCCAGGTCTACAGTGCAGTAATCCATTTACTCAGCTGGAGAGGAGACATCAAGAGCATGCCAGACACATTTCTTTTGGTGGTAACTTGATTACTTTTTCACCTCTACAAGGAGAATTTTGAATTTAAAAATAAATCCATTTTCCTTCACATTATCAATGCTTATATATTCTTTAGACTATTGAAATTTTGGAGAAAATGTATTTGTGTTCACTTCTATAGTATCATATAATGTTTTAATACTCTGTTTATCAAAGTGTATTTTAGATATACTCTTTCTCAAGGGAAGTGGGGATATTTTGTACATTTTCAACACAGAATAAAAAATATACTGTGCCTTGCCTCTCTTGTTTGAAAGGAATAAGCTTAAGGCTAAGTATACTTAGCGCTTATAAACATTCTTTAGTTTAATTGAAATATTAACCTGTGACAGAAGTATTTGCATCTTTTTACACTTTATTCTTAGTTTGAAATCCTAAATTTGTTGACATTGAACAGCTTTGGGTATTACATTTTTCCATAGTATTCTGAGTTTCTTTACATGAGCTTTCTGGATTCCGAAGTCAGTTTGACATGCTGCGGTTTCAAACAGTTCAATCATTAGAGGTACCCATTAAGTCCTTGCCTTTTTGTTTTCATTTTCCCATTGGCATGCCCAAGAGACATTGAGGAGATGCTTTTTACTTTTGAAAAAAATCGTGTCAATCATATAACATATCAGTCACATGAACATTTAAAAAACTGGTACAAAGAAACCCAAGATTTACAGTTAATACAAAGCAATATGCGACACAACAATATTTTGCTCTCAAAAATAAAGCAGATCAGAATAAGACAATGTCAGTAAATGTGATCTTTAATAAGATGTATCACTGAGTTGTTTAGAAAGCTTTCAGCTGTTCATGGCCCTGGGCCATTAGAAAACCCTAGTTTATGTATATTTCTTTTTCCTACATGGCTTGTTTGAATTACTCAAACAAGGAATGGACTCGAACTGGCTTAACAGTAAGGAAATTTATTATTTCACAAGTTATCAAAGTGATTCCAGGTACTTTATAATCAATAGCTCAGTGATCACATCAAGGTCCAACTTTCTGTTCCTAGTTCATTCTGTTATCCTTGATGTCGGCTTCTCCTCTACGGCTGGGTCTTTTTGGGGTCATAAGATGGCTGCTATTGGCAGTTAGAGTTATGTTCTTCCCTTTGGCCTGATTAGACCAACTAATGCCACATCCCCATCTGCAGATCAGTAAGCCAGCAGGGGATTGACTTAAATGAATCAGAATTCCCTGTTGAATCTGGGATCACACCTGAATAAAACCTTGGCTCTTAGGAAACAAGGAATAGATATTGGGTAGGCAACCATCAGTGTCCCCTACTAGATAACGTGCTTGGCTATTGGAGTCTAGAATTATGAGGTATTAGGAAAATTTTTAGAGACAAAATGAAAGAAAACTGTTTTGGACAGAGCAAGAGTTCTTAATGCAGTGTATTGTCAGAGGAAAAAAAAAGTTCTTTTCTACCAAAATAGAATGGGAATTGCTATTTATTGAGGACCTACTATTTGACAGTCCCTTTGCAAACAATATTTTACTTAATGTTACAGTAACTCTATAAGACCTGTGCATTTGATAGACAAAGGAACCAAGGCTCAGAGGATTTAAATAATTTTGTGTAAACCAAGTTCTCTCTTTTCTCCAAAGCTATGTTCTTCCATTTATTTAATAAGAGTAGAAGTCAAGACCCAAATGTTGGGGTAAGGAATTTTTTGGAATATGCTATGATATGCTGCCCACATCCCTCTTTAGCAATAGAGGACTTACTCCTTGAGGTGCAGGAAGTGCTGCTGGCAGCAGCCCTCAGCTAACATCCCTTGTGAGGACTGTGCTGTGTCAGCTGAAGAAAGCCATGTTATCTCAGGTCACATTCTTTCCCAGCTGTCCTATAGTCAGTGACTGATTAAAGTGGGGGTATAAAAAGGCCTGGCCCCCTTGCAGCTCTGAAGAATCCCAGCTTCAGAACTCCCATAGGGTAGGCTAAGTTATTGCTCAGCTTCTCCCTCAACCCAATCATGTCTTTCCCATCCCCACATGTACTGATTGCAAGTACACTCCCTCACAAGCCTCTTGAGATCTAATCTCTCTGCTTCCTGGGAAACCCAACCTGTGACAATTACTAATTTAACAGATGTGAAAAGGTAGTATTGTATAAAATATTTTGGGCCTGGTGTGGTGGCTCACGCCTGTAATCCCAGCACTTTGGGAGGCCAAGGCAGGTGGATCATGATGTCAGGAGTTCAAGATCAGCCTGGCCAAAATGGTGAAACCCCGTCTCTACTAAAAATACAAAACTTAGCGGGGCATGGTGGCGGGCACCTGTAATCCCAGCTACTCAGGAGGCTGAGGCAGAGAATTGCTTGAACTCAGGAGGCGGAAGTTGCAGTGAGCTGAGATCACGCCACTACAGCCTGGGTGACAGCGAGACTCAATCTCAAAAAAAAAAAAAAAAAAAAAAAAATTTGGTCTTCTATAAGATGAAGTGGTTTTGCCACATCCTAGTTTTGGAATTTTATTAATCTTTGGGCTTGCTGCTAATAAGGGTAGAAAGGCATGGGTAAGAATGTTGACGATGGGAACAATTAAATTTTGAAAGCTGACTATATAAGATACCTTTTTTCTCTGTAAGAGATTTCATAAAAACCAGGGAGATGTTCCTTTATTGATATCAAATTACTGATCTGAAAGCAGCAAACTATAGTTTAGAAGGAGAAATGAGATTAAAAAGCAGTCAAGAAATACACCAGAATCCTAACAATAATTGTCTATAGGTCATCTATAGGTAAACTTTTTCTTAATGCTATTCTCATTTCCTGAACATATTTCCTTAAGAAAATGACAGAATAATTTCCTTGGAACATCTCCTGATTTTAATGAAATTCTGGAAGAGAGAATCTTGAGGTAGTATTTACTTTCTTTCCTTAAGAAAAAGATTTTAACAAGTATAGGAAACCTTGAGGCCCCAATGCAGTATTAATATTGCTGCATATTTTTTCCATTGCACATTATCGAGAATAAACCACTCCAATTAAGTGACATATTGAGACAGGTAATTCACTATAATATTTATTAAGACTTACAAGAAGGATATTGATGAATGTAAAAATTTTCACTCACAGTGAACATAAAGCCTTTACACATGTAAGGTTTAGACTTTTTTTTTAGTCTGCCCCTTTCAGATTATATCATGGTGTATGAAGCGTTGGTGAGGTCTATGTCACCAGAAATTCCCAGTTGGCTGATTTCATTGAGCTGTTTAACCCGATGATTGTACTGCAACAAGTGAGCATCATTCACCGCAACCTTGAAGTGGTCAGATTCAACCAGTACTTGTATCTGAAATGGCATATACATAAACTATTACATGAGGTAATGCATATGTCAGCTGGATTTAGCCATTCCACAATATATACATGTTTCATGTACATGATAGAAACAATTTTTTGTCAACTGAAAGGAAAAAAAAGTCCATTAATTTCAAACCAGTCTGGCCTGAACTCAGGATGTCCAACATTTCATCCTTATCATTCGTGGGACCAGTTAAGATCCAGGGAAAGTAACTTTACAGCAAAAATTCCAAGTTATTCAGATTTTTTTTAAAAGCCACAAATTTATTACAAGGATATATAAGTGAAGCCATAAAGGTGAAGGCTAAGGATTTGCCTGCATAAAAACTTAAAAGAGCCTGGGTGTGGCGGCTCACGCCTGTAATCCCAACACTTTGGGAGGCAAAGGCACAGGCAGATCTCTTGAGCCCAGGAGTTTGAGAACAGCCCAGGCAACATGGTGAAATCCCATCTCTACAAAAATAAAAATAAAAAAATTAGCCAGGCGTGGGTGGCATACATCTGTGGTCTCGGCTACTAAGGAGGCTCAAGTGGGAGTATCGTTTGAGCCTGGGAGGTTGACAGGCTGCAGTGAGCTGTGATCTTTCCACTGTACTCCAGACTGAGTGGCAGTGTGAGACTCTGTCTCAAAACAACCAAAAGTTCTGGTATGGCCTAAAACACCTGAAAGAAAAACACAAAAGTAGGATTCTTTTGGCAAATGTTGTAAAGATTGGTGATAATCAGTTTTGGCAAGGGTAGGAGAAATCTACTCTTCCAATAGTGGATGTTCATTCCTACATCTTTTTGGAAGCAGCAATTTGATAATATCTAAATTGTAAACATACATATTTTAAAGCAAAGATTTCTAGAAGATTTGCTTCTAGGAAGAAAATATTTGTAAGGATAGTTATTACAGTATTTTAGTAAAACATTTCCAGGTTGGAGTGTTTCTATTCTGTAAATTTATATCAGTAGGGTACTAGTTAAATTATCACATCTAAAAATGAAATACTATTGGCCGGGCGTGGTGGCTCATGCCCGTAATTCCAGCACTTTGGGAAGCCGAGGTGGGTGGATCACGAGGTCAAGAGGTCAAGACCATCCTGGCCAACACGGTGAAACTCCATCGCTACTAAAAATACAAAAGTTAGCTGGGCATGGTAGCACACAACTATAATCCCAACTACTCGGGAGGCTGAGTCAGGAGAATCACTTGAACCCGAGAGGCAGAGGTTGCAGTGAGCTAAGATCATGCCACTGTACTCTAGCCTGGCGACAGCGAGACTCCATCTCAAAAAAAAAAAAAAATGCTATTAAGTAACAATATTCTGATATGAAAAGATGTCCACCAAATGTAGACTATGGTCCTTATTTGTCCCTGTTGTTGAAGAGTTTACAGTCCAGCTGTTTTATTTACCACTCTATAGTCAACCCTAACTCAATGCTGTGGACCTAATATTTGTTGAAGCAGTGCTTACAAATAAAAAGCGTGCTGTATGTCAGAAAACACTAGGAAGATACTCATCAAATTGCAATCTTTTGTGAGGATGGGGGAAGGAGTAAAGGAAAGGAAACCTTGTTAATTTTAAAATTTATAAACTTTTCATAAAACTTTAATTTTAGAATAAAAAACATGTAGTTTTGATCTCTATGCCAACTTTTTTTTTTTTTTTTTTTTTCGCTCTGTCACCCAGGCTGGAGTGCAGTGGCACAATCTGATCTCGGCTCACTGTAAGCTCCGCCTCCTGGGTTTGCACCATTCTCCTGACTCAGCCTCCCGAGTAGCTGGGACCACAGGTGCCCGCCACCACGCCCGGCTAATTTTTTGTATTTTCAGTAGAGACGGGATGTCACCGTGTTAGCCAGGATGGTCTCGATCTCCTGACCTTGTGATCCGCCCACCTCAGCCTCCCAAAGTGCTGGGATTATAGGCGTGAGCCACAGCGCCCAGCCCAACTGTGTTGTTTTAAGCAACAAAGTTGCAGTACAACTGTACCATAAAGACTTTTGCCTTTTTTGTTAAAGATTATATTATTTTCATCTCTAGAAAGGCTTAAACTCAGAAGGGTGGCAGCAGTGATGCTGGTGAGGTGCCTGAAAGAAGTGTGGAGTGTGCCACTCCTGGCCATGTTCTCAGCCTGCTGAGCCTGGTCCCCTGGGCAGGGAGAAGATACACTGGTTAGGCACCTTAGGACAGGTGATAAAAACTCATTTCAAGTGCTTTGTGGTTTTAGAGTGATTCCTCATGAGAAATGCACATTATCAATATATAATAGTAGCAATAACTTACTTTGAATGGTTTCCCACTTTCAAATGGGAAAACTGACTGTCTTTCTTCCCTTCCCCAGTTATTATCCAGCTTTGTATTGCAAACAATGACTCTCCTGTTGTTCTCATTGAAGCGTGGGTTAAAGTGGAAGGCAACATCATTCCTTCTCTTGAAATCTAAAGCAATTCTGTTTTAAACCAAAGACCAGTTATTAAAATGATTAAAACTGTATATCTACACGAAGTAAAGAATATAATTTTCTAAAAAGCAAATAATTTCATAATACAGTACCTAGGAAATTTTTCTGAACAGAAAGCAAATCAGAATGGGTTCAAACTGGAAAGTATCCTACACCTGATATTCTATGTACTATCATAAAATCTAAAGGTAAGCAAGACAATATATGTTGAATTTTTTTTGCCTCATTGTCTTCGATCATATTTCCATTCATCTGTAATGCCTCCTTTACAGACTCATGAAAACCCTTCGAGGTTTTCTTACAGAGGTTTAGAGCCACTCTGAGGATACTTTATCCCTTACTATAGATAATGTTTCCTGCTCTTCCAGTTTGCTTTCAATACCTGGTAAAGGCAAGCCAGCTATATAGTTAACAGCCATCAAATGCCTGGCTTCCTCGTAATTAACCAGAAGCCCTAGTTCCTCTAAAACAGCAAGGATGAGATAAGGTAGTTAATATTCAGTATCTTGTTGCTAAGTTGTAAAGTCATGATAGTAAATGTGGTAAACATTCTATGATGTGAGCTGGAACCAATGAAATTGCTAGTTTAGCTTTTTGACCCTGTTCCTTCTCCCTGGATGTTAATGCAAACACAAGTCCTCTTTGACTAACCCCATCCCTGAGTTTCTCAAAGTGTGCTCTATAGAGCAGTAACACCAGAATCATCAGTAGGTATTCTTATTTTAAAGCCAGGTCTGCACTCGAGACCAACTAACAAAGATTCTCTGTATTTTGATTCACCCAGTAAAAGTCACATTCAACCACAAATGATCTTCCAGTGATTAAACTTGTAAGGAAAAAACAGCAATAGAATTTGTATTTGACTAAATATACAATGTTGTCATCTCTGTCACCTTAAGTACTTTTTTTTTCTATGCAGTTCGTCATATAGAATTTGTAGGACTAAGCAACAGTTTTTTTAGTTTACTACCATTAACCATTTCAACCAGAATTAGTTTTGATCTGCCAGTCTCAATCTACATCTCTAGCATTAGAGCTAAACTTTCCAGTGAAATGACTCTAACAAGACAAGGATACCACACTGGGTATTCAGTGTGCATTAGGGGTTGTGGGAGGAGGAGAGCAGATATTTAATCATGAGTGCTGTGTGCACAGGATAAGGTGTGCTGGGTTCTATGTGATGTTGGGAGGAAATACGGATAAGGACATAGAGGATATATATATTTTGTAATTTGCTATGAGACGGGCATTATTGTATGGGGAAGTTCTGTGCTTACAGAAATTGTCTAGGCTGTGTGGAAAGATGGGTTGGCTTAGGATAGTGACTACCATTGCAGAAACAGGGGAGGCTGGCTGAGGTGGAGCGAATGAGCATTTCAATGTGAAATTATCAGATCAGAAGTGAAGTCCATCTCTTGATGGCAGGATGTGGAGCAAGGTGACAGACACTGAGACTGTTTATGGATTCTTGCATAAACCTGTGTACATGGCTTGAATCTGTACCATTTAGGTACTGTTCATAAGACCTAGAGATTCTTCCACTAACCTCAGGCGCAAGCATCCCGGATGGTTTCAGGACATGGCCAGCTTCTTTGTATAATATGTAAATACTACATAACCAGTGGTGACAACCAGGGCCAAGTGGCCCAGGACAGCCATAATTAGCATGTATTTTCCTAAATAAAGCCTCACCCCATCCTAGCCCACCTCATCAATCAAACCACTTCCAATAGCAAAGGTTGATTTATTATGATGAAGTTTTTAACTTGAAGAATCTCTTCAAACCCATAAGCAAATAGTATCTACTCAAAAGACGGGTTCCCAGGCCTACCACTGATCATCTGTAGAACCTGAGCCTCAGTTTTGTCTATAAAAAGGGGAAAGCAATATTCCTTATCCTGCCTTCAACCATGGAGATTAGCTGACATAATACATATCAAAGTATAGAATAAGGTGTGTTACCATTTACTATGAGTGCCCCGATGCTTAGCAAAATTATATGGGAATATGTACGGATTTATGGGATAATCCTATATGATGGTATAGCCAAGATTCTAAATATGTAGTTTTTAAAAATTTTATTAAAATTCAAAATAGCACCGTAAGACAGGGCAAGAAAAAAAAAATCAAAATAGGCCATTCTTTATTCAAAAACCAATCTACAAATAGGGTAGGCTTGTTAATTTTGCTCTCCTTACCTGTTTGCATTAGGCTTCACCGTGCCCAGAATTGTTATCAGCATGCGAGGCACCACTCCTCCAGGCAAAGGCAGGTTATAAGGCACAGACTGGGAATGAACAAGTACATATGGGAGTCATGTTTCTTTAGGGAAAGAAAACGATGTTGCTGAAGTTCCATTACTATTAATATGTGTGAAAAACACATAACTCTAGTATATGCCATCTGTCCAGACTCTCAGGCCACTTTGCCCAGGGGCCAAAGAGATAAGGCTCCTTACATGTACAAATAATTGAAAAGAAAGCCATCAGTAAGTCTCATTACTATGGCCATCCCAATCTACTCATTCATGTTGGCTATTTTTTGGAAAGGCTTAAGCTAGATCTTGTGATCAACATTAACATTTTTGTATCACTCTTAAGGCCCTGTCATGTCACTTGCTTCACTGTGGTTATTCTGCTTCCTGGGGGCAAGCAGCATATCACATACTGGGCTTGTGGGTTCTCATATGGTCTGTACTCACATGGCTCCAGCAGAGTGCTTTGCACGTGGCAGATACTCAATATTTATAGAATGAACACTGTTAAAACTGAGGTTCATTCCACAAATGTTTATTGACCATCTACATTCAAGGTACTGTGAATATCCCCAAAGCTCTATTTATTTATGGCCTCTTTTCTTTCCCTTTTTAAGGCTTCCCTCTGGGTTTAACTATCACCCCAGCCTTTTCATTTTTTGAGACAAGGTTTCAAAAATCCAGGTCTCTGTTGTTGAGGATGGAGTGCAGTGGTGTGATCATAGCTCACTGCAGCCCCGACCTCTTGGACTCAAGTGATCCTCCTGCCTCAGCCTCCCACAGTGGTGGGATTATAGGCATGAGCCACCACAGCCAGCCTATCCAAATCTTTTCTTTCTAGTCCTGATGTGTATTAGTCCTGTACTTCTTCCCACCTGGATTTGCTGCTAGTGCCTCAAATTCAACAAGTGTGAACTAGAATGGTCTTCCCTCCCCCTCCCCCATCAGTTCCCCTTCATGAGTTCCCAGTTTGGGCTAAAGCTTTGCTGATGGCTCTAATTGCTCAGCCTTGAAAAGTCAGTCTTCTATGTCTTCTAAGACATAATCAGTAGGTTCTGGGGGTTCTTCCTCTGTCATCTCTCTTACATCTGCCTGTTCCTTTCCACAGCCTTCATGTCCCCCTCTCTCTGCAACTGACTAACCATCTCTGGTATAGGCCCATCTCAATGCCACCCACTCCCCCAAGTCTTTCTACTCTGAACCGACCTAAAAGGAGACAATGCTATCTTGTGCCATCTTCTGCATAGTTCTGAAATGGTCTAATCCCACACTGGTACTTAGCTCTTTCCTCATATTTATTATATGTTTTATCATCTAACTAGACTATAAATCTGGAAAGGAAGGATCCTGTGGCTGAGATGTATCTGGATCCCCCACGGAGTTATGTTTTACATTTAGAATTCACTTGCTAAGACATATTTTAATTTGCATGAAAATTCAACCCTTAGATCACAAAATTATCTTTAGAAGGTTTCTCAAAACCAGATTACCCTGGTTCCTCTACCTGTTTGCTCAATGACCCTGGACAAATTATATCACTTCTGTATTGCCCCATTTCCCCACATGTGAAATGGGGTTATTAACAGTATCGTATAGGGTGGTAATGGGGTTAAATTAGATCATCCAGGTAGATGCATATTATTGACATGTACTCAGTAAGTGTTAATAATAACCAAAATGTTCTCCATTACTACAATTTTGGTTTATATTAATAAGCAGCTTTATCAGTGCCTTCAAAATATTCATTACCTTCTGTTTATACTAACCACACACAATAAGCTCAACATGAACACTTAATTTTTCGATTCTACCAACATATGCCCATGGCTGGCCCTTGAGAAGTGGCTGTCACAGCAGGTTTAAAGCTCAGGGTCTCCCTGAAGCCCTCTGCATGCCAAGTACATGAAAGGAGGAATGCTATCTCACCAGTGGCCCAGCAGGGGCGCCATAGGGGCCAGTGGCAGGGTAGGCTCCAGGAGCACTTGGCTGTCCAGGAGATGGGTAGGCTCCAGCGCCACTGGGTGGCCCTGGGTAGACTCCAGATGCTCCGGAATAAGCTCCAGGTGCTCCAGGGTAGGCGCCTGGAGGTGCCTGTCCAGGATAAACCCCTGGGGGTGCCTGCCCGGGGTAGGCCCCAGGATAGGAGGCCCCTGGGTAGCCCCCTGCCCCAGCAGGCTGGTTCCCCCATGGGCCAGGCCATCCTTGAGGGTTTGGGTTTCCAGACCCAGATAAGGCATCATGGAGCTGTAAAGAAAGACATAAACAATTACAGGACAGAAAGCATTCTCAAAAGCAGAATTTTCAGGGAAATAGGAATATGTGATCTAAGAAGGAGAGGAATATAGCAAAGGCATTACATGCATATCATTATACTTTTTCCACTTGTTAATAGTTTTGAGTGTCTAAGACTAAAATTAGACGTTGGGGTTACATATGCTTTTTCACTTTGTTCTTGCCTCCCAAGGTCTCAAATCAGGGAGGGCTGCATTTTCATAATTAGCCCAAGTCAGGAGCTAGCGCTCCTCTATTTACAGCACATATTTTTTAATCACTGTGAGAAAAACAATCACAAACATCAGAATGCCCAGACTGTACCGCGCTTCCCGCTACTCAGAGGATTTCTCAGCTCCTGCCAGCAGAGTCCACTCCCTTCCGCCCTGGGCCTTTTGGTGAAAGGGTTACTGTAAGTGAGTCCCAGGCCTTGCTCTGCCTGGCTTTCTTCCCAAATCTGCTGCTGGAAAAACAAGGCTCCAGCTCACAAGCCCTCGTTGGACAAATGAGTCTAGGGGAAGCCACACGGTGGGAGAGTGAAAAGGGAAAGTCATGGTAAAAACAAAACCCCCAACCCTCAACCATGTGGAGTTGATCGAGGGTAAGAAACAGGCATAAAACACTTACCGAAAAATTGTCTGCCATTTTCCTGAGAGAAAGAAAGAGACAAAGGTTATCATTTGATCCTGAAAGCTTTCACCGATTTCCATTAAATTGAACCTCACCACTAGTTCATTGTGCAGTTCTAGTCAATCTCTAGGCATTATGCCTAAGTCAGTAGTGTGGGACCACACAACATCTCCTCAAGGGGCAGGGATGCTTTCCAGCTAGATTGTGAGTTAAATATAACTCACAAGTTTAAACTTCCATCACACTAGCCTGTGCTCTGAATCCTGAGACCAAGAGGCCATACAATGCATGAGGGAGGAGGAGGCAGGGAGGAAGAAAAGGTCCTGTCCCTTTTCCAGGTGAAAAATGTAAACAGTCATGGTTTCTCTTTGGTTCTTCTTCACCTTCCTTCCTTACTCCTTATAAAGGGTTTGGTGTGTTCATCTTGCCCATCTGCCCTCTGTCCCCACTAACTGCCCCATCCCCTCCTCTGGGTTTTTGAAGATCAGCAGTGATTGATTCCTACTGAGACAGGAAAGACAATGACCTCCAGACATAGTTGCTGCCCTGTTATTTATTCCTCTATTTGCACACACTTATGCCTGCTCTTGGTCAGGCACTGCGCAGGCTCTTGTCTAGGTGCGAAGATGAATAGGCCATGATCTGCATGGTCAAAGGGGCCATGGGATCTAAAACTCAAAACGATTGAGCCCACAGAGGTATAGAGTAGAAGGATGGTTACCAGAGGCTGGGAAAGGTAGTGGGGGTGGGTGAGTGGGAGGGCGGTGAGGATAGTTAATGGGTGACAAAAATAGTTATAATGAATGAATAAGGCCTGATATTTGACAGCACAACAGGGTGACTATAGTCAATAATTTCATTGTACATTTGAAAATAACTAAAAGTATACTTGGATTGTTTGTAACACAAATAAATGAGAATATGAATGCCCCATTTTCCATGATGTGATTATCATGCACTACATACCTGTGTCAAAACATCTTTATGTAGCCCATAAATATATATACCTGCTATGTACCCATAAAGATTAAGAATTAAAAAAAAAGCCAAAGGGCCCACAGTCCAGCAAGGCAGATGAGATGCATCCATGGAAATGTGAAATAACAAGTCACGAATGCTATGAGTTAGAATGTGTGCTGTAGGAATTCAAACGCAGAAAGCTTACTTCTAAGAAGGAAAGGAAAAGTGCTGTTGGAGCTAAGCCTCAAAGGGCAGCTGAAGTTTGTATGTGCTTTCTTTTTTTAAAGGTACTTGTTATTCCAAATAAAATCTTTGGCAGTACAACAAACTAAGGTGAAAAAATTCAGGCAACGTGAAAGAAAAAAATATTTGGGTGTAAGATGCTACCAAAGAGGGTTTGCCTTGCCCAAAGCTGCCACAAGGGGTGGTCTGGAGACATCAATCCTGCTTTCTCCTGTTCCTTCCCATGTCAAGGCTCCTAAAGCACAAGATGCTTCACAGCTGTTGCAGGTGCTCCAGCTGTGAGGGGAGGAGGGCAGTTGGGCCCCTGAGGCATGGGTGAGTTCTTCCTAAGCTCAGGATCACCTGTGCCATGGCCTGAATTACGTAGACCTTGAAACAACCAGAATATCCTTGATTGCCTACCTGTGATATTTACTCAATCACTTTTAGAAATGACATCGCCCCAAGGGATTCAATAAATGTCCACTACTTGATTCAAATGCAAGATATTGGCTGGGCGTGGCTCATGCCTGTAATCCCCAGCACGTTGGGAGGCTAAGGTGGGCGGATTGCTTGAGCCCAAGAGTTCAAGACTAGCCTGGACAATATGGCAAAACCCTGTCTCTATGAAAAATACAAAAATTAGCCAGGTGTGGTGGTGCAGCCTGTGGTCCCAGCTACTTGAGGGGCTGAGGTGAGAAGATCATTTCAGCCTAGGAGGTCAAGGCTGCACTGAGCTGTGATTGCACCACTGCACTCCAGCCTGGGTGACAAAGCGAGACCCCGTCTCAAAAAAAGAAAGAAAGAAAAGCACAAAATATTACATTTTTGTGGTAAAACTCAAACAGGCAGAGCTCCTCCTAGAGCTTAACATGCTTCATTTATACACACTGGATATTTTATACAGGTTGAGTATCCCTTATTTGAAATAGGACCAGAAGTGTTTCTGATTTCCTTTTTTTTTTTTTTAGATTTTGGAATATGTCCATATACCCAGTTAGGCATCCCTAATCTGAAGAGCCAAAATCCAAGACCTCCAGTGAGCATTTCTTTAGAGCATTACCTCTGAGCATCATGCAGACATGCAAAAAGTTTGGGATTTTGGAGCATTTCAGATTTCTGCTCTGGGGATGCTCATCCTGTACTATACTGCTATTATTTATATTATAGTCAGACATTACCTTTGACTAAAATATTTTTGCACCTTTTTTTTTTTTTTTTTTTGAGACAGGGTCTTGTTCTGTTGCACAGGCTGGAGTGCAGTGACATGATTTCAGGGCTCACTGCAGCCTCCACCTCCCAAGCTCATGTGATCCTCCCACCTCAGCCTCCCAAGTAACTGGGACTACAGGCACACAACACCACACCCAGCTGAGTTATTTTTTTCGTAGACACCGGGTCTCACTATGTTGCCCAGGCTGGTCTCAAACTCCTGGGTTCAAGTGATCTTCCCACCTCAGCCTCCCACCGTGCTGGGATTACAGGCATGAGCCACCACATCCAGCCACACATCTCTTTTTGAACATGGTCATTCTGAAACCTATTCAGAAGTGGTTAGGTTATGACCATGCCCATTTTCCAACCTAGGGAACTGCTGGCAGCTTGACAGGGAAGTCACGGTGACTCCAGCGGTTACTGCCATCTTTCATTTACTTTTTACATCCTGTAGTGCTTGGCTTTTTAAAGCAAAAGTTGTGAGCTCCTCTGCATGTGCCTCCTTCCCCAAAAGGCTGCCACACTATTGTATAAGAAACTGTGTTGCTAGAGGAGGGGGAACTTGAGAGAAGAGTTGTTACAGAAAAGGAAAATAAATGAAAATTTTTAATTCAGGAAAAGAAAGTCTCCCTCATTTTGGATGCCAGTAGGAAACAATCTTGAACTTCAAGGTGGGCAGAAAGCTTAGTTCCTTTAATTACACATACTTCTTCCAGCCTAAGGCAACATATCAAAGACCCAGCAATAATGTTATCAACATTTTGATTTCTTTTAAATGTCCTCATTGCACAGGAGCTTATTGTAAACCTCAGGACCACTGACACTTCAGGTCAGATGCTTTGCTGTGGGGCACTGTCCTGTGCGCTGTAGGATGTTCAGCAGCATTGCTGGCTTCATTACATATGCTGCCAGAACTCCAGCACACCACACTCCAACTTGTGACAACCAAGTGTCTTCAGGCCGGGTGTGGTGGCTCACACCTGTAATCCCAGTCATTTGGGAGGCTGAGGCGGGAATACTGCTTGAGCCCAGGAGTTCAAGACCAGCCTGGGCAATATAGCGAAACCCCAGTCTCTACCAAAAAAAGGAAAAAAAAATGTCTTCAGACATTGCCAATATCCCCTGGGAGCAAAATCATGGCTAGTTGAGGACCGCCAATCTAGCTAGTTAGCAGTGTATCCCTACATGAATGTACACACGTGGTTCCACAAAACCAAAAAGGTAGTTTCAATTGTTCAAACTAGCCTGAATTTGCTTTATAAAGGGTCCTAACATCACTCTATTCAAATTAAGATGTGTTTAAAGGCTGATTCCAACCAGAAAGTCAAATAAAGAAGGCATTTCCATAATTTAATATTTATTCTTTTCAAAGCCTCCGCTCAAGCATGTTTAGTTTATTTTCCAATCTAACCAAATCCAGTTTGGGAAACAAAGCAGCTCTCACTGCATTTCCACTGTTTCAACACCACCTTGGAGAGCAGTATAGATTCTGTCTCGACCTATTAGACAAGGCCACTAGAACCTGGCATTTGTGTGGTGCTTTTCAGCTTATAAAGCATGTTCACATACATTATCTATTTTAGTTATAATGACAATCTTTGTGGTGAAATCTTGTACTGTCCTGCCATCTCGCTGTCCAGCCTGGGACATGAATCATCCCTTTGTCCAGCCTATCCACACTGCAGATGCTACCCACCCACAAGTTACTTAGTAGCAGGCTTGGTTATCAGATCAAAAAAACAGTATATATAGGGTTTGGTACTATCCATGGTTTGAGGCATCCACAGGGGGTCTTGGAATGCATCCCCTGAAAATAAGGGGGAGACTCCTGTGTTCTCACCATAAGGAAACTGAGGCTCAGAGAGATAACATGGTGGCCCAAAGTCATCTGTCATTGGCAGATCAAGGAGTAGGGCTCGTGTCTTTTTACTCCTTATTTAGGCTCATTCTACACCAATAGAAAATATCACACTTTGAAATTTTAAAGTACAGTCCTTTGAAAGTGTTAATTACTTCACTGGGAAATTAATTCTCTGACTAACTCATCTGTAACTACATAACACACTGAAATTGTAAACAAAATTTAAAAAGGATTGTGTTTTGGTCAGAAAACTAACTGGGTGATTCATTCAAGCACAAAATAATATTGAATATTTAATACAAGAATGCCATTTTGTGTAGTCACTTTGCTAATTATAACCATATTTTAACCAATAAAATGTACTTTCCAAAAATTGGGTATGTACGGTTTTGATTATGTCAACTTCCAACCATGAGATTTCTTTTTTGAAAAGCATTATAGGCCGGACGCAGTGGCTCACACCTGTAATCCCAGCACTTTGGGAGGCCAAGGCAGGAGGATCATGAGGTCAGGAGTTTGAGACCAGCCTAGCCAACATAGTGAAACCCCATCTCTACTAAAAATACAAAGAATTAGCCAGCTGTGGTGGCAGGCACCTGTAATCCCAGCTACTAGGGAGGCTGAGGCAGGAGAATTGCTTGAACCCGGGAGGCAGAGGTTGCAGTGAGCCAAGATGGCACCACTGCACTCCAGCCTGGAAGACAGTGCAAGGCTCCATCTCAAGAAAAAGAGGAAAAAAAAAAAAAGCATTATAACTGATGCTCTTTTGAAATCAAGATTATTAACCTCAAAACTTCCAGGAAAACAAAAAAGACATCTATTCAGATAAATATCATCCTTACTTGCCTGAAAATTTTTTTCGTTTTTCTTTTCAGATGAGTAGTTTACAGAGAGAGACCTACAATCAAATGTCAGAAATCCTCCCACTCTACAGACACTATAGATATGTGAACCCCATCCTGGTGTTTCCAGGATCAGAGAATTTTGAAGAGTCAGAGGGAAAAAAAAAAACACTTCAAAAAATAAACTAAAAGTAGAGAAATACTAGCTGGGTCTCCACATTTGTAAACACCTACAGTAAGCAGTTCAGTGTAGCTTTGGAATAAGGAATTTAAACATGAGTTAGAATACAGACCATTTTAATCAGTTAACTGGTAGCTTTTCCCTTTAACAAAGCGTAGCTGCGCTATGCTATTCTAGGCCCACCCAGCAATCAGTCTGGTTGTCTGGGTTCCCAGGAACACTTCTGAAATTTCTGCTCATAAAGGTCCCTGACCTGTACGCAAGCTGTAACGGAAGAAGACTGTTTCCTGAGCCCCTAGGCACTGCCCCACACTGCTCCTCAGGTAGCACAAGAGGCAGTCTACTTTCTGTCCTTGCTGAAACACAGAGCAGGACTTGAGGAAAGCCCATTTTCCAAAGACAAATTCAGTGATGCTAAGTTGGAATAAAGAGAACTGGTCCTTTCCTAGGATTTCTTTCTCATCATAGCTCCCTGGCATCAAGGAAGGTAGAGTTACTTTCTGCTTCTCAGTGACTGATTTTTTCCCGCTATGGAAAAGCTGAACAGGGGTCAAAAGAGAACACATGACACTTAGTCAATAGCGAACTGGAAGTATACAGCAAGCACTGCCTAGCCTGGCTCTCAAGTTACCCACTCAGAATTTAATGAGAAGATCAGTTCAGGCATCAGACACAAGGAGCTACCCTTGAGTGGGAGCCTGTGTCCCAAACGACAGGAAAGAAGAGCTATGTTTGAGATCAGTTACCGCAAGTATCAAGTACGTAAGTTTACAAGTCACTTGGCATTTAAGGTCAACACGAGATTCTGAAGGCATACTACATGAACATAGGTCTCGGCTGCAGTTAAGGTTTATAGTCTGGCTAATGAAAGTTCTATGTAAAAAGGTACCTAAATTATACATGAGACCAGCATTAGCCTCTTGACCTCACTAAGTGAAAAGTCTTTATAAAGCACCTATGCATATTTGTAGCACAGCGAACTATCATAGATTAAAGACCTCTTAACAGAGCAAGACACCTATTCTACTTGGACACAACTAGTTTTCAGGGTCAATCCATCAGGCGGTACTCGTCCTCTTGTGCTTCTTACGTAACTTTTGAGGCATCCTCCTAGCACTTCTAAGTGCTAAATATTCAAGGACCATCATCAAACTTCTCCCCAGAATCTGGACTAAGTGCTGATTTTAAATGTCACCTCTAAATATGAATTTAGGAAGCTGCTTAAATCCCCCAAAGATCAAGGATGGGGTATGATCATCCCTAGAATGAGAGACCCTACCCTAAGGATTTAGAGTCAATGTCTAAAAGGGAGACCATTGTTGGAGAAAAGTAAATGATCATTATTCAACTTTACCTTTCATGGAAACACACAATTTCCTAGCATGAAATGTTTATAAACTTGAGGTAGGCCAGGCGCAGTGGCTCAGGCCTGTAATCCCAGCACTTTAGGAGGCCGAGGCGGGTGGGTCACCTGAGGTCAGGAGTTCGAGACCAGCCTGATCAACATGGAGAGACACCCCCATCACCACCACCACCATCACTAAAAATACAAAATTAGCCGGGCATGGTGGCGCATGCCTGTAATCCCAGCTACTCGGGAGGCTGAGGCAGGAGAATTGCTTGAATCCAGTAGGCGGAGGTTGCAGTGAGCCGAGATCGTGCCATTGCCTGGGCAACAAGAGTGAAACTGCGTCTCAAAAAAACAAACAAAAAACACAAAAAACAAAAACCTTGAAGTAAACAAATCAGAACTTTGGAAGCTGACGACAGCTTTTTCTTCTCAAGCTCTGTGCCCAAGTGGTTCATTGTATCAGCCTCATTTTCTTCAGAATTAACTGAGCCTTCTCCCATTCCTTTCCCACAATCCTAGAAACAGCCTGGGTCACTGAGGTCCAGGTGTCCTCATTGTGCAGCAACCCAACTCCCAGAGTCACTTTACAAACATTCCGCAGTCTCTGGAATCGGCATGGCTAACTTGAAGGGTAAGACTGAGGCCTAAGTCCCCGCCTCCACCATGCGTCCCCGATTCCCTGGCCTTTAGCGCCTACTTCTCAGAGGGCAATCGTTTTAGTGTTTCTATTTGAGCACCCAATAATTCAGAATAAACTCTCAAACATGTTTTGGGAGTCCCCCGCTAGGGCTCTGCACACTAGGACCAACATTCTGCCACACCCAACACTTCCTCGGCACAGACAGTCTGGGCAGGGAGGGGCATTTGATTCGGAAAAGCTTAGAGTTTGCAGTCTTCGCTAAGCCGGGTCATGCCCACTCAGGCCATGGGGCAAGCACCATTTCTGTGGGATTAGCAACCAGAGAGCGGCTGCAGCCCGGCCGCAGCTGGTCCTCGTGGAAGAACTCATTCGCGCCCCACAGAGAGATCTCCTCCGAGTCCAGCCTCAGCTGATGCTCAAAAGGGGCCGGGCGAGCCAAGCTGTGGGTTCCGGGAGGCGCCCTATGCAGTCCTCAGAAGTCCCTTCGCTCCCCCGCGGCCGAGCTCTGGGGAAGGGTTACCCGGCCCCAACCCCAGTTAGAGAAACTGGAGCGGCCGTCTGGTTTGCTGAGCGAGTCCCTCCGCCTCCCCTCGCAGCGGGACCTGGCAGGACTGGGGTGACCAGACCGCGGCTCTTCACCGGATGGGGCTTACTCCGGGGCCGCAGAGCGCAGCCGGCGGAGGTGCGACGGCGGTGAAGCCCCCGAGGCTCCGCAGAAGGTGGCCCGTGCCGCCGCGGGGACGTGTGTGGGTCTCGGAAGGCGCTGCCAACCTTTCCCGAGCGCCAGCGCCCTCAAGAATCAAAGGCGACCGCCCCGGGCCCGCCGCCCCGCACCCGGAGGGCAGAGCACAGGCTGTGGGGCTCTCCGCGCGCGTCCCGGCCTGGTCCCGGGGAGCCGAACCCCTCCGAGCCGCGCCCCAAGCAGCGCCCGGGCGCCCTCACCCCTGCCCGGCCGGAGCCGCGTCCCCAGCGCCCCGCGCCGCTCACCGCTCGTTGGCTGGTTCCGGACGGCTGCTAACGAGGAGGTGCGGGCGCCGGCGGGGCGGTGGCTCCGAGCCTCAAATACTCCCAGCGCCGCCCGGCCCGCCTCTCCCGAGGCGGGGCGGCTCCCCTGCCCAGCCCAGCCTCTCCCCGGACCATGCTGGGCGAGCCCCGCGTCCGCCTGACACCCCGCGCCGCCGCCGCAGGGGCGACCAGGAAGCTCCCGACGGGCAGAGCGCGGGCTGAGGGGCGCGCCCTCCGCCACCACCGTTCGGTTCCGTGGCGCTCCGGGGGCCTGGGCTGCGGCCGCGTCTCTCCCCCGCCTTCTCCAGAATCACCTGAGTGAAGAATTCACTGAGGGGAATTCAATTAATAGGTTGCTTTATTTGTAGAATACAAAACCAAAAACCTTTTCAATGTCTATTGCCTAGGGAACTGACTACAAATTGACTACTTATTCTAGATCAATAGGCCTAGTCTCAAAGCAATTCCCTTATGAAGCAATTAGACAACTCTTTAACACATTTTGCACAGGAAATTCACATTATATATATATCCTCCTTTTAACTTCACCTTATGTTTTCGTTGGAAGAAAGAGATAAGTATTATTATCTCATTTTTACTCTCAGGGTGCTATAGTCTGAATGTTTATATCCCGCCAAAGTTCATATGTTGAAATCCTAACCCTCATGGTGATGTGTTAGGAGGTGGAGGCCTTGCGAAGTGATTGGGTCATACGGGCAGGGTCCTTATGAATGAGATCGGTGCCCTAATAAAAGAGGCCGGAGGGAGACCCCTTGCCACTTCCACCATGTGAAGACACAGCCGGAAGGCGCCCTCTGTGAAACAGAAAGCAGGCCCTCACCAGACACCAAATCTGCTGGCCTGGGGATTTCCCAACCTTCAGAACTGTGGGAAATAAATGTATATTATCTATAAGCTACCCAGTTTATGATATTTTGTTACAGAAGCCCAAACAGACTAAAAGAGAAAATGATTTACTTATCCAAGCTCACTCATGTCTAGGAACAAAATCCAGAAATCCTGACTCTTAAACTTTATCTGGAAAAGCACCAGGTCAAAGAATCCTTGCAGGCCAAAACAAGGATCTCTGAGGAAAAAAAAAAAAATTAAGGGGGGTAAGGGAAGAATCTTTGCAGGAACCGGCTTATGTAACCTATGGAGAAAACCAGTTATCATCTGGTTCCTAAATAATTCCTGTAGCCCTTATAGTAACCAATTAATAACATAAAGATAAATTATTTCCTGCAGTTTTTCAGCTTAGGGATATGTTCCTGTAAGGGACTCACTTGATGGAATTGAGAAGCTGTCTTGGCATTCTCTAGGATAAATTTGAAAGTGTCTTAGTGGCTGGCACTGTTCCTGCAACATTGTCCCCTCTAGGCTTGCACATAGAAGTCACAGTGTGGCTGGGGATTATTTAATGAAAATGTGAACTCTTACCTGAAGACGTGGCCTGGCAACCAATTTATTTGAATAGATCACCATAGTAAATGACTAACCTCTGGGTAATAAAAAGGTGTCACCCACAGGAATGCCCTTGGTCTCCAAGGAAAATGCTATAAATCTTAAGACTTTGAGTCATGAGGCCTCATGGCCAGGCGTGGTACCCTTAGAGGGTTAGCCATTGGTAATAAAAAAAAAAAAAAGTAGATAGCCAAATGAATTGCTGTGGAGGCAAAGGAAGAAACACACTCTTGCCTTTTCTTCTGGTCATTTCGGAGATAGACGAAGTTCATGCCCTGGCTACTTAGGGGGCTTGCTTACACCTGATTGTATGATCAGACATCCTTTTGGCTTCACTTCCTTACTTGTGCATCCCCATGAATACTTTGGTGCCAACTTCATGCCCCATAAAGCTAACAAAAGGATCCTGATATGATCAGGGTGTGCCTGGGAATTTATAATTTGTACACATGCAATAAACAGCTCTTTATTACCCAATCCAAAGTCATATACCTCTTCTAAGATAAGCGTAAAAAGGAACCTAATAAAATCAATTAAAATATCATTGAGTAACTTCTATGTACAGATCACTGTGTTATTTGAAATAAGGCACAAGGCAGTGTTAGCCCTCAAACAAATAGGCTGGCTGGTTTCTACTGATGCAGAGATTGTAGGCCCCTGATAAAAGCAAGGGTTCTAAGAGAGGCATCTCCACAGGAGGGAAAGGAGGAACCTTGGGAAAGCAGGTGGCGGTCCAGAAGGTCAGGAGGGAAACTGGGTAAGAACTTCAGTTAGAGCCAGAAGAGTAGGAGATGAAGATGAGAACAAAAAGGGAAAGTCTTTAAGGATGAGCAGAAAGGAGAAAGAAAGACAGTAATTGGAGGAGAAAACAGAGCCTATATATATATATATATATATATATATTTTTTTTTTTTTTTTTTTTTTTTTTTTTTTTGAGACGGAGTTTCGCTCTTGTTGCTCAGGCTGGAGTGCAGTGGCGCAATCTCAACTCACCTCTACCTCCGCCTCCTGGGTTCAAACGATTCTCCTGCCTCAACCTCCTGAGTAGCTGGGATTACAGGCATGCACCACCACACCCGGCCAATTTTGTATTTTCATTAGAGACGGGGTTTCTCCATGTTGGTCAGGCTGGTCTCCAACTCCCGATCTCAGGTGATCCACCCACCTCCTGGTTCAGGTCCCTGCCCAAAGTAGCTGGGGATTGCCAGGCTGGTGATGGCCACCACCAGCCGCCCCGGGCAGCCAGAGGCTGGCCAATTGTATTTTATTTTTAAGAGGGTTTCACCTGTTGGCAGGTGTCTCATCCTGATTGTGATCACCCTCGCCCCAAGTGCTGGATTACAGGCTGAGCCCCGCCCGCAAAGTCACCTTTTAAATAGGAAAATAGAACCAGAGAGAAAGGAAAGAAAGAGGAGAATAGAAGAACTATGAAAATATAAAAAGTGAGTGAACCTGAAACAAGCCAGAAAAGAGGAGAGAAATTTCCCAGAAATTAGCACTACAGTGGGCCAAATAGGGAAAGAATGTCTCACAATGTAGACATTATGAATGTTTACATTATGAAATGTAAACAGAAATGTTGGTATTAAGTCTTGTAGACAGCAGAATACAGGAAGAGCCAGAAAAGAGCAAAGCAGCAGCTTTCCAGTTTTCACATTTGGACCCCGGGGAGCCCAGGCAAGTTTGGCAATTCTGTGTCTACATGGTGTTAATGCATCTGGGTGACAAGTGAAGAGTTGGGTCAGGCCTCAGGGCATTTGGTCTTTCTGGTGTCAACAACTGGATTCTGGGTGGCTGGCAGACTTAGGGACTGAAAGAGAGGCTGAGTGTTCTGGGGAACCATTTATGCCTTGAAGACAAAGCAATTTCCAATTCTAGAACGAAATGACTGTAGCTGTCTGCTGTTTCTAGTCCCAGTTATCTGCATGTACTTACTCATATCCAAGGCCTTTAGTGGGGGCCTAATATATGCCTCAACTATTTTGCAAAATCCACCCCTTCTAGCTCGCTGAATGAACAGGCTCACCAAAACCTGGTCAACAAATGAAATAGGGTTGGTGGCAGTAATGTGCCCAATGATGGTTTATGAGGTCTTACCAACTAGGTTGCAACTAGAGCCCCTTGGGAACAGAGTGAGAGCCAGAACCTGCTTAGAAGGGAGTCAGCCCCTCCTGCCTTGGATGGGCAGGCCAACAGCATCAGGGAGAAGAGGTGTCCCAGGTGCCACCGCAGGTGCAAAGCCCCTTCTCCAGCCCAGGCTCAGCCCTGGCCACCTCAGCCTAACCTTCCTTGTTTGTCCCTCAAGCCTAACCCAGGCCTGTCTTCAGCACTAGCCACCACCACACCCACATTCCTACCAGTCACTTCTCCTGTCTACACACAGGAAGTGGCTGCTGCCACTACTACTGCCCTTATTGCAGCCACGCCCAGGGCTATGCTCTTAACCACGCTATAGGGCTATGATCTTAACCACGCTGCCTGATCTGAAACACCTGCCTCTTGAGGAAATATAAAACCAGGGAAAGGGATAGAGAGTGTTCGAGCTTGCTAAGGCTGCTGTAACAAAGCACCAGGAACTGAGTGACTTAAATAACAGAAATTTATTTTCTCCCAATTCTGCAGGCCAGAAGTCCAAGATCAGATGTTGGGAGGGTGGGTTTCTTCTGAGGCCTCTCTCCTTGGCTTGTACGTCTCTCTATATCTTCACATGGTCTTTCTTACATGCCTGTCTGTGTCCTAATCTCCTCTTCTTAGAAGGACACATTCGTATTGGATTAAGACCTCATTTTAAGTCAATTGCCCCCTTAAAGGCCCTATCTCCAAATACAGTCTGGGTGCCCGGGGCTAGGATGGTACCAATATGAATTTTTTTGCAAAGAGAGAGGGACACAATTCATTCCATATCAGAAAAGGGCAGGGGAGGAGCCGATTGTCAGCAAGTGTGGTCAGCAGAGATTTCTCCAAGGAGGTGGTATTTGAGCTGAGACCTAAATAAGGAGTAGAGGCAGGCTTGTAGAGATCTGAGAAAGTGGGAATGGCAAGAATAACACTGTGAGTGGCAACAGGGACCTGTGCCAGCATAGACACCCATGGGGCACCTCCTCAGAATCCCCTCCCTGCCATCCTCATAAAGTGGCCCAGCAGCCAAGCTAGTACTTCATGACCTCTCACCTTAAATGGAGTTGGGAGAATTGTGGAGTCCTAACTGGGGGCTGAGGGAAGTGGAGAATTGGGTTGGTGGGATCAAGGGAAAGCAAAAAGAGAAAGCAGACAAGGCGCGGTGGCTCACACCTGTAATCCCGGCACTTTGGGAGGTGGAGATGGGTGGATCACTTGAGGTCAGGAGTTCGAGAACAGCCTGGATGACAAGGTGAAACCTCATCACTACTAAAAATACAAAAATTAACCAGGCATGGTGGCAGGTGCCTGTAGTCCCAGCTACTCGGGAGGCTGAGGCAGGAGAATCGTTTGTGCCAGGGAGGCAGAGGCTTCAGTGAGCCAAGATCGTGCTTCTGCACTGCAGCCTGGGCAACAGAGTGAGACTCTGTCTAAAAGAAAAAAAAAAAAAAAGCAGATAAGCTATAAGTCTGCCTTTCTTCATGGTCCAGGACACATAGCCCTCTTGCGTAAATAACACACA